ATATAATATTATATTATATTAATAATAGTATAATATTATATTAATGATAAAATAACATTATTATAAAAATATTAATATAATACACAGCAATAACAAATTTATATACCAAAATAATTAGATATATAATTATTTAAAAATAATATGTAATAATTATAATATGATATAACTCATTAAAGTACAATATAATATTATAATACATTATATAATATTATATTATATTATATTATATTTAATATTTATAATACTATAATAATGTAAACTAAATATTATAATATTTTATTTATAATATATTTTGTTATAATTAATAAATAATATATTAATAATATGTTTAATACTAATGTTATAATGGTCAAACTAGTGTTGACCAAAAATACTTAACATGGTGTTTTGAAAATATTTTAAAAGAAAAACACAACACGATAGTGTTTTTTTATAAAAACACAACAAGAAAAACACAATGTTATTCAAACGAAGCAGCATTACACCCAAAGCGTTCATCAAAATAAACAATAGAATTAAATCCAAGCAAATAACGCAACCAACAAGGAGAATAAATACGACCCATCAGAACTAAGACATCAAACAACAACTAAAGATGTCTTTTCAGTAAATGTAGATCCCCAAATTTTAACTCTCTTCTTCAAAGCCCACAACAAAAGGCAAAAGCTACAACAAAAACATAAAAAAAAACCAAATAGCTAAATCAAGTAGTACTTACAGGAACTCCAAAATTGAGGTCCCCGAGGCGAAGGAGAGCGCCATTAAAGCGCCCCCTGAGCGCCACTGGTGCTGGTGCTAAGGAGAAAGAGAGGAGCGTGGAGGCTGAGGACATTGTCAAAGCTGAACAGCAGAGCGATGGCGAAGGAGAAGGGTAGGGCTTTCCAATGCAAAGGAGTGACATGAGAGGATATTGAAACGATAACTGCGATTGTAGAGGAAAACGACGACAGCATAATCGAGAAGAGCAATGTAAGCCGCCAGTTTTAGATTTTCTCTCAGATGGGGACGAGGGAGAGCAGAAGGGGTAATTCAGCGGACAGCTTTACGTTCTTATTTTTTCTTTAAGGCCGGCCCACTATAATATTGGGCTGTTTATTTTCCTCGTACAGGCTAGACATAGACCCATTATTTAAACTGCCTTAAGATTGGAATTGGGATCCTCTCCTAATGAATCCTCTCCTAATATCTCCTAATAAGAAGATCTTGGCTTTTGATTTATCAATCAAATGCCAAGATCTTATCCTTATCTCCCCCCTACTTTTGTGCATGAGAAGATCTTGACCTTTGATTGATAAATCAATGGTCAAGATCTCATTAGGAGATATTAGGAACCCTCTCATTAGGAGAGGATCCGGATCCATAAGATTGCTGCTGCTACTACTACTTAGCTGTTATTTTATTCAAAGTCCCACTAGGGGCACATCATCAACCACACTTCCAATCATACCCTCACACTCTCTATAGTGCTAGTTGGTCATGCATGCTATTTTTAAAAAAATATCATGTATGGCCCACTAGCACTATAGAGAGTGGGGGGTATGATTGGGAGTGTGGTTGAGGGTGTGCCCCTAGTATTATTTTTTTATTCATGCTTGCTACTTCGGAGCTGAGATCTGCACTCACGCAGGGGTATCAATATTGTTTTTATTTAGAATTCATATTAAGAAGAAATTTTCTAAATAAACTCATTCATAAATTTTTTTTAAAAATGATCCTATTCAAATTTTATTATAAAAATCGACTCACTTTCTCGTCACGTTAGCGTCGTCATTAGAAAGTGGGTCGGTTTTTATTAAACGCGATCTTAATTAATTAGGGCTGGCAACCCCGACTATTTTGAACGTCGCTGGTAATTTGCAAGCTAAATTATTCGGGGTTCGAAACCCCGACTATTTTAGCGCATGTTTAAATTAGTAGGGGCTGGGAACCCCGACCATTTAGCAGGGAGTTCACCCCCTCCCCTCCCTAGTTAACAAAGTGGGAAAATGACTAAGGGACAGAATAGTCGGGGTTGGCAACCCTAACTACTTGTTTTGGGTCTCGCCCCTATCTCGGATTTCAACCCCATTTTTCGGTCGAATTTCATCGTGAAAGATCTCTAGGGTAATTTATCTTCCTTCTCTCCTCTTTTAACATGTAGAAATCTAGGGTTTTCTCTCAAAAATAAATTTTTAGGGTTTGAACTCTATTTGTAGTGGTTTATTTAGAAAATTTCTTCTTGTTATAGTTAAAATTAAACTTTTAGGGCATAGAATGCTTAATTTTAGGGTTTAGGATTTGGGGGTTTAGAATTGTAATTGGGGTTTAGGGTTGTAATTTGGGGTTTAGGGTTGTAATTGATAATATTTTTTAAATTTTTTATATTTAAATGATATAATTTTCTTTTACATATGTTGAACAATATGATTTTTATTACTTGCTTTTACGGTGGGAAAATTAATTATGGAATGAATAATATGCCAACGTACATCGGAGGGGTAACGACGTCGTTAATGATCTCATAATCATATAGTTATTGTGACTTGGTTAATTAATTACACTGAGTTACGTCAATTGACCCACGAGAGTACCGATTAAAAATAATATGCAATTGGCCCATAACTTTTGATAGAACGTCCGTAGTTGAGATCTCAAACAATCATCATATGAGTATTATGTTTAATTTGAGCAAGTCGCAACCAACGGTAGAATTTTTTATTGAAAAGTTATCATATAGTTCGTGCTGAATAGTCAACCCTCCAGGAGAATTCTCACACATGTTAGATTTAGGAGTTGAGTCTGATGTGTTTTTTTCTTCTTCGAGCGAAATGGAGCGAACTCAATTTTAATATCACAGTGGTGCACCTTCATTCGGTGGAACACCAAATGTCATAAAAAATGAAGTCCTTTATGAAAATATGAGGCCGTTAAGAGGGGCAACAGTTGAAGAGGATGAAAGAAGCAACGCCTCTGTAGGTGAAGATGAAGATAGTACACCAATTGATAGCATGCAATTTGTGAGTGAATATGTTGAAGAGAATCTGGATTGGCCTGATTAGGCTTATGTTAATAATGAATATGTTGAGTACGAAGAACCACCCTCTGACGAGTTTGAAGATGATAAGTGGATTCGTTCTTCCACAGTATAAGATATATGCATTGGCCAAAGTTCAACTCATAAAGGAGATGATGATGTCCCTTTCAGAGTTGGTGATTTATTCGAGACTAAGGATCAATTGGTTGATGTTATTCGTGATTACTCAATCAAAAAATTGGTCAAATTCAAGCAAATTAAAAGCAATCGCATAAGTTATGAGGCAAACTGTTTTATGAATACATAAAGGAAAGGTCAGGCCGAAGGAAATGAAGCTGATTACGCATGTCCTTGAAAGTTATATGCATTTGCCGAAAATAAACATAATGGGTATTGTAGGATCACAGAATACTGCGGCGTTCATACATGTAGCAATCTAATATTCGAGCAAGATCACAGTGGTGCTTCTGCCTCTTACATAGCACGGTTGATTATGCCAAAATTAAAGAAGAAACTTGAACTAAGGCCCGATAATATAATTGAGAGAGTGCTAGATACGAAGTTTATTAAAATATTGTATAGTAAAGCGTAGAATGCAAGGATAATTGCGATGACAAAAAAATTTGGTGATTGGGAGAAGTCTTACGCGACACTACCTCAATATCTTGATGCGATCAAAGAAGAAATATTGGATCTGAATACAAACTCATAACTAAAGAGATCAATCCAGAAGTTCATCAATTCACCTCTGTATTTTGGGTATTTGGTCCTTCGATCGAGGGATTTAAATTTTATCGGTTGGTTCTTAGTATTGATGGCACACACTTATACGGTAAATATAAGGGTGTATTGCTTGTTGTTACAGGAATAGATGCAGATGGTGGCTTATTTCCTTTGTCCTTCGTAGATGTGGAGGTTGAGAACATTGAAAATTAGGAGTGATTTTTTTCTTGCATTCAATTATATATTTTTAATGTGTTGCCTTCTAGGAAAATTAATTTTATATCCGATAGGATGAAAGGTATTCCAAAAGCATTGCACAGGAGATTTGGGTCTCATCACAATCATCGTTATTGCTTACGACAGATTAGAGCTAATTTTAAAAAGAGCTTCGGTCAAATACATTTACAAAAACTTCTTTGGCAAGCAGATTGTACACCCGAAATATGTGTATATGATCGGATACGGGATCAAATCAAGGCAACATCTCAAGCTGTACATGACTGGATTGAGAGTAGTTTGGGAAGTGATTACGTCAACAGGTGGGTACTAAGTAAAGATAAAGGGAATCGGTTTTGCATGATGACAACTAATTGTTCTGAAAACTTCAATATGGTACTTAAGGAGGCTCGATCAATGCCCATAAAGCCATTGGTTGCGAGGACATTTATAGACTAAATCACTATTTTGTCAAGCGGCGAGAGGATGGAGCAAAGTGACTGACGTTGTTCACACCAAAAAATGAAGAGATTGTAGGAGCTCGTGTCAAGCAGGCGAGATCAACGAAGATTGTTAGGTTTGCTATAGATGAATGGTAGGTTACAGACAATCACGATCATAATTATACTATCAATTTACAAGGGACACAATGCGCATGTACTTGTAACATACCAGAATTGCAAAAATTGTCATGTTCACATGTTATAGCGGTTATGACCAAGCAATTTGGGGGTGAAAATACATCGTATTACACATACGCTTCTGAGTGGTATCAATCAAGCCACTATAGAGATTCATACAAGCAGTGTTTTCATCCCGTTGTAAATAGTCATGAGTGACCACCCATAAAGGACCGCATGTATTACCTCCTGAATATAAGAGACAAGTCGGACGCTCGCGATCAGTACGCATAAAAGGTACGATGGATGAAGGTTGGGAAGGAGCTCCAAAAAAAGGTGTGGATATTGTAGGCAATGGGCCATAATAGATCTCATTGTCCTACCAATCCAAATAGATAGCAATTAATATGTACAATTTATTTAATTTTTAATTTTATTCTACTTCATTTATAAGTCAATGCTTATATATGAAATCTGTAATTTTATTCTACTTTTAATTTAGCATACATCATAACACTGACATATTTTATCATCATTGTGTAGATATTTATAGTATGGAGGCGGGTCCATTGACATATGAGGTCCTCTATGACCAAGATGGACACTGATCTGCGAAGATAGACTCTGGAGAGATAAATTCTAATTTTTATTATTTTCATTTATAAGTCAATTTTTCTAAGTTAATGATTGTTACTGAATATTTTGCATTGTTTAATATATGCAAGCCCCGAGTATTACTGTAGTTGATTATACTCGTGCACAATCGAGCTGGGATTTGACGGATCCACGGGTCCAGTTTTGTGTTCGTCAAGCAACCTTTTTGAGTGTTCACAAATTAAATGAGTGAGACTTGATTGGGCTCTCTTGACGACATTGATTGAACGATGGAGGCCCGAGACAAATACATTCTACCTGTGCCAAGGAGAGTCGACGATTACATTGCAAGATGTTGGGGTTTTATTTCGCCTCAGAGTGGATGGAGATGTTGTTACGGGTACCGATGACTTTAACTGGGTAGGAAAGTGTGAACAATTTCTGGGTCAAGTTCCTACTATGAAGGGTGGTAAGATAAAGCTCAAATGGTTAAGAAATAATTATATGAATGTATCAATCGATGCGACCGATGAGATCATCAAGAGCTATGCCCGTGCATATATTCTTCATATGATCGGTACTATTCTATTTCCGGATTCCACTAAAGATTCGGTGCATGTGAGATGATTGCCACTTCTTGAGGATCTTGAGGAGTGTGGAGAGTTATCATGGGGGAGTGCAATGCTAGCTTATCTATATAGGGAGATGACTAAAGTGACACTCATGCAAAACAAAGAATTCAAGGGTTGCCTCACTTTGCTGCAGATATGGTCATGGGAGAAATTGCATGTGGGATGCCCAGATTTGAGGGAGACACGTACTCTCGATGGCCAGATTCCGTTAGAATGCAAGTATTAC